TTTCATAGATATTGACATATATATTATCATTGTATGTCAATATTTAAACAAGTTATTTTTATGCATGTGATGTAAAATAAGTGTCTTTTTTTTTTTTTTTTTTCTTTTTTTTAAATAAACAGTATAATTTGCTTATAATCTAAAACATAAACTTTTATTAATCGTATTACATATGTTGTGTTAGGGTTAATACAATTATAAGTATTTTAGGTTAGTATCAAGAATTGATACGTTTAATTAAATGGATCGTGTTAATGTTTAATTATTTTACATGCAAACCCAATATAACACGGCACAAAAACGAGATGACACAACATAATTTCCACCCTTATGTGCTATCAGTGTCAATTTTTATGCTGTGTGTATATGTATGTATATATACGGTTGTTATTGACTGAATTTGTCGCCCATAAATTTTTCGAACTTGTTTGAATAGAAGTAACTATTCATTAACAGGAGGTGTGTCTCAGACTTTCATCACTGCTATCACAGTTATTGGTAACGTAAAAATATAAACATTGTATTGAAGATACATCGTCTTAGTTTGGAAAGCGAGTTCTTTTTAAATTTTTTATTTTTTAACTATTTTAATTTAGATTAAAAAATTTCTTGTAGGATTGACATTTTAGCTTTTTATTTTTTATTTTTTATATTTTTGTGAGAGAAAAAGTGAAATAATTATACTTTAGATGTGATATTTTACCTTATTAACTTTTTAACATTTTTTTGTGTGTGACTATTTTAACCCCAACCTCATATGCCAAATGAAGCCACTGGTAGTGGGAGTCATTGCACTAATATTATGTTGACAAATAAGATGATAAGTATAATAATGGTACAAAAATATGATAAATGTAGCATCATTATTATTGAAATTAGAATTAGCTAGAACTATTACAGTAGTTGATTATGGGCCAATGTAACGGTGAGACTAAAAAATTATCAAATCAAAATTGTTTACATCTTATTATAATATTTGGTTGTCTAAAAGTAGTAATGATTATATATGACTGAATGAAACTGAGAAATTACTCAATTTTATTAAAATAAAAGATTACAAATTTCAGGATTTCTCTCTCTCTTAACACACTAGAACAAACTAGAAAATTCTACAAAAAAATTGAATAGAAATGACAAAATTTTCAATTTGTACAAAATTTCATAGTTTCACAAATTGAAATTCTTAGTAATTTTCAGTACTCCATATAGTTGCTTTACCAAAAAAAAAATTACTTTTTATTTTTTATAATTTTATATTTAATATTGATTTTTTTTTATTTATAAATTTCGGTAAGGAGGATTCAAAAAATATAAATAAAAAAAGGAGCAAATGAATGTATAAAATAGAAATTATAATATTTTAAAAGTAAAAATATATATTAAAAAAAAAATGCGTGACACGCGCGTCAACCATGAACACATCCACAAGGGGAGGCGTGGACAACCAAATTTGCTTGAAAAGGTAAAACAGCCTACCAAGTATGGAGTGTTGAAAAATTAGGACTGCATAGGTTAAAAAAATACGTGAGACACGAGTGTCGCATCTTGATTAATGTTGGGATTTTAAGCTAATCGATCGGGTAAAGATACAGTGACCTGCTAATAGTCAGATAGGAGTGGGACTCGAACCTGAAACCTAATGAAGAGCATACTCGTAAGCTCCTGATCCCTTACCTTCAACCAACTAGACTACTCTTACGGGTTAAATACGTGAGACTTAGCATAGCAAAGGCTTCACAAACAGGACTTGTATGTAATTAATCCTTTAAAAAATGATGAGGATATACCTGAATTTAGGTGAAACAACTATGGTAGCAAAACAATAAAGTTGACGGCAGTTGTAATAATAAGGAAATAAGTAATTGAAGGTTTCAACTTAATAGTCACCTGAATCCAGGAATGTAGACACTCCTTATAGCTTGTAAGACTAGACTTGTTTGGCGTTCTTGTAATTCAAAAATGCGCTTTCCCTCTTCAAAACTGCTCCCAAAAGCCGTTCGAGATATGATATCTGCAGAAAGGTCATGAAGTTGTTTGTGCACCTCCAACTCGAATTCGTCCCTCCATCCTCTTTCTTCCTCCCATTTCTGGAGCATATTTATGGTACTGGCCACAATTTCCGGCACCCAACTCTATCATAAACAATATCAAATTAATAATATTGATCGTAGAGCTAATGTTAAATTTGCATTAGAATTGCATTGGACTAGTGGCAAAATATTTGTGTTTTTAGGTGTTAGTGCAAAGTGTATGGCAAAATGTTTAGCCAAGCCTACCTCTCAAGTTGATCCCATCTGCTCCTAGTTTTTTTTATTTTTTTTTAAACTTTCATTTTCTAGAGTCCTTTTATTGTCTTCTAACTAAACTAGAAAAATGGCAGTCACTATATGCACATATATATTTGGTCAGTCGGTAGAAGACTAAAATTATATATATATATATATATATATATATATAAAGAGCTTAAGGTCACTGGTAAATGAATGATACATCAAAATTATTCTTATACAAATAAAATTATCTTGTTACCAAGGATTCTCTCTAAAGTAAAGAAATTCGAAATAGAAATTGAATTCTCATTTTTTGTTTAGAATATTTTTAATTCTATTTTTTAAAAATTTTACAGAGCTATACCGACTCGAATGGTAGTGTATTCTTTTTTTTTTTTTTTTTTTTTTTTTCCCAAAATAATTTGTTGTAGTGACTTTTCCACTTTGGCCATTAATTATTATTATTATTTTTTTTATTTATTTATTTTTTTAACTTTGACCTTTCATGTTCCAAGTTTTTTCTAATTTACTCTAAAACTAACTTATGTTCAAAATTATAAAGAAAATGACACATTGACAATTATGTAACATAAAAATATATTATTATTTATGACTCATAACCCTGATATAATAATATTATTATTATGTCATGTGGCAGTTAATGTAGCATATTTTTATAATTTTGAATAAAAGTTAGTTTTAGAAATAAATTGAAAAAAATTTGAAACATGAATGATTAGAGTAGAAGAAAAAAATTGAGAAAATAGTCAAACATAAGGGCAAGATTTACCCTTATTTTTTAGATGAAAAGGATCAACGAGAAACCTAGTTGGTTATTATTATTATTGTTGTTATTATTATTTTCTTCTCAGAATTTACAAAACAAATAATAATCTTACAAAAAAGTCATAAAAAAGACAAATTATTAAAGTTTATTTTTTATTTTTTTTACTTTGGCCATTCATAGTCAATTTTTTCTCAATTTACTCCCAAAGCTAATTTTTGTTAAAAATTACACAGGAAATGACACATAAATAGTCACGTAGCACAAAAATATTTTATTATATATAACTCAAATTTCTAAAATAAAGTTAAACTCCAATATAATAATATATACTATATTTTTTTTTATTACGTGACAGTTATTATGACATTTTTTGCCTAATTGTGAACACAAATTAACTTTATGAATAAATTGAGAAAAATTTGAAACATAAATGGTTAAAGTGGGAAAAAAAAACTTTAATGCCAAAGTAAGAAAGTAAATAAACATAAAAGGGCAAAGTGTAATTTACCCTAAAACAAACCCCAAACACTTGGGCTCTGTTTGTTTAAAATTTTCTACTTTTTTCTTACAAAATTCCCATCTTAATCAAATGTTTGTAAGAAAATATATTTTCTTTTCTATTTTTTTTCTTTCGCTTCATTTTCTTTCACTTTCACTTTCTACTAAATTTTCTTTCTAATCAAACGAAACCTTAAGAAAGTCTTAAAACGTTCATAATTTTTTATAAATAGTTTTCTTTTTTTCCAAAAACAATTCTCTAAAATTCAAAACATCTTAAATGTTTATTAAAAATAAAATATTTAAAAAATAAAAATAATTGCATTTTTTTTTTTTGAGTTAGTTGTCAATAGGATAAACAGGAAAATAAAGAAAGTTTATTTGATTGAGAAAAAAAAGTCAAGAAACTGGACCAGAATTTACATGGTTTATAGGCTCACTAAAAAGATACTAAGAACTCATTTGGGAATAAATATTTTTAGTAATTTTTAGTTAAAATATGATATAAAAAAATTAGTATGTCGTTTGGTTAGAATAACCAAACATTATTCTAAGTTAGCTGGAAAAACTAACTTAGAGGTTGGCTGGATTAAACCAACACTTATTACTCTTCAGCCGAAGTAAGGATACGGTCGAAAAGTGGCTGGCTGGAATAAACCAACACTTGTTACTCTTCAGCCGAAGTAAGTGTAAGGCTGAAGAGTGGTTGGCTGGATTAAACCAACACTTATTACTCTTCAGCCGAAGTAAGGATACGGTCGAAAAGTGGCTGGCTGGAATAAACCAACACTTGTTACTCTTCAGCCGAAGTAAGTGTAAGGCTGAAGAGTGGTTGGCTGGATTAAACCAACACTTATTACTCTTCAGCCGAAGTAAGGATACGGTCGAAAAGTGGCTGGCTGGAATAAACCAACACTTGTTACTCTTCAGCCGAAGTAAGTGTAAGGCTGAAGAGTGGTTGGCTGGATTAAACCAACACTTATTACTCTTCAGCCGAAGTAAGGATACGGTCGAAAAGTGGCTGGCTGGAATAAACCAACACTTGTTACTCTTCAGCCGAAGTAAGTGTAAGGCTGAAGAGTGGTTGGCTGGATTAAACCAACACTTATTACTCTTCAGCCGAAGTAAGGATACGGTCGAAAAGTGGCTGGCTGGAATAAACCAACACTTGTTACTCTTCAGCCGAAGTAAGTGTAAGGCTGAAGAGTGGTTGGCTGGATTAAACCAACACTTATTACTCTTCAGCCGAAGTAAGGATACGGTCGAAAAGTGGCTGGCTGGAATAAACCAACACTTGTTACTCTTCAGCCGAAGTAAGTGTAAGGCTGAAGAGTGGTTGGCTGGATTAAACCAACACTTATTACTCTTCAGCCGAAGTAAGGATACGGTCGAAAAGTGGCTGGCTGGAATAAAGTAAGTGTAAGGCTGAAGAGTGGTTGGCTGGATTAAACCAACACTTAGTACTCTTCAGCCGAAGTAATTATGTCGGCTAAGGAGTGGTTGACTAGTAAGTATAGTTTAACCAACCAAAACCGAAATAACAGTTGGAGTAATAGAAGACATACCACATCCGGAATAAAAGTTAGCGTAAAATTTTCGTTCAAAGAAAAAGTCATTACAAACGAGTGTAGTTCGGTTACAATGAAAAAAAAAGTACAAAATTAAGAAAAAAGTTCATCTATCTCGGCGTCAAAGGCAGCGTCACCATCAACTCGCAGACCGGTTTCTGGAGGGAGCTCATTCACAATCGGGAGAGCCACTTCGGCTGGAATCACGGTTTCCCTGGGAAGATCAACTGTCAAGTCTTCCACAGCGGGCTCCGACCGAACTGGCTGGTCCACATTATCAACCGGAATGTCTTCAGGAGCAGAGGAGTCATCAGTGTCTGAGTCCTCCAGAAACTCCTGCTGCAAGGCGTCTGCATACGCCGCCAGGGACTTCGGTATAAAGTAGGCTGGAGGGTCGAAGACCTCGGTCTGATCATCATGACCGAGCTTCTCCACAACCGCCCTCCAGCCGCACTTGAAGAAGAGCTCCTTGGCGGCGTCGCATTGTTTGACATAGGCATCTTCCGCCTCCTTGTAACCTCGCTTGTACCCCTCCTTTTCGGCCGCCTCCATGTTCTCTTTTAGCTCGCTTATTTCGGCGTCCTTTCTCTTCTCAAGCTTCAACAACTCCCGCAGATACTTGTCCTTCATAACGATGGCTGCTTTCTGCTTCTCCGCTTCCGCCGAACTAACTAGATCGGCAAGACGGCCGTTCTCCGATTGTAGCTCGGCCATTCTCCTTTCGGCTTCTATTAGTTCAGCCGACTTTGCTTCGGCTTCCGCCATCGCCTGCCTTGTGGTTTTGCGGAGTTCTTGAACTTTCTTGTATGTAATGTTGTTCTTTTGTAAGGCCTGGCAAAACAAAAATTTCTTTTCAGCCGAAATAAAAGTTGGAAAATATGAGCAGAAAAAACAGACAGAGCTACTTACCAAGATCATGGACTTGGAAGCAGACCGAATTGATTTCATTTCGGTGTTCAGTTGCTTCAAGTGGTGCTCCATGTCCTTAGGGAGGCACACACTTTTGGCCAGGTTAAAAGCCAGTTGGTGATCTTTTTCAGCCACGACCGAGTCAGTGGCCTTGATATCTCGGTCGTTGAAGGTCAGCGGCGGAGCCCACTTCGGAGATTCAGGTCGGTTAGTTTGCTCCGGTTGGGGGGAAGGTTGAGGACTTTGCGGGAGGGATTCAACCTCATCAACAAGTTGCTGTTCGGCCGGTGTATTTCGGGCGCGTTTGGAGGGCCGAGATGAAGAAGGCTGCTGAGAAGGAAGGGCCACTACGGCAGGCTGCGCCTCGATGGATGGCTGTACTTCGCCTCTGGTTGTTGAAGTTAGAAGGGCCCTGACTCTACTCTTCTTTGCCATTTCTTCCTTAGCTGTCAACGGAACAAGTCTTATCTCTGGCAAAGTTGGGTCCGGTTCCGGTGCTTCCTCAAGAAGAAAATCGGTTACCTTTGCTTTTCGGCGACCGCTATACCGGTAGGTCGGCTCAAAATTCAGAAGCTTAGCCCAACTCCTCTCTTGGCACCGTAGTGCGGCTCGCAAAATTGCAAGATTGGGATAACTATATAGAGAACGGAGGTGGGCAAAATCTGCAAAAAAGAGAAGTGTTAGTTCGGTCAATAGACTAAAAAAACGAGATAACACACAAAGCAGAAGACCGAAGTAAAATTACCAGGCTCTCCCATTTTCCAATTTATAGGTCGGCCAGGAATTTGAGCTTGAAAATCCTCAAAGTTCCCAGAGACCCAAAAGAAATCATCATCATTAAGATCTTTGTCCGGAGTGTGTTTAATTATCTTCTCTCGGCGGCGGCGAATCCTAAGGTAGTAGACCCACCCAGCATTCTTCGAGCCGATGGAATACTGATGGAATATTTCGGCAAGGCCAAGGTTTAAACCGGTTTGGTGGTTTAGGGCGGCTATGCCCATGATAATACGGTATGTATTGGTGGACAGCTGGGTGGGGCATAACCTAGTCTGCCTAAGGAACTCACAAATCAGTGGTTGGACGGGAAACCGCAGTCCGGTTTCTATTATGGACTGAAGGGTAAAAGGGACGAAGCCTTCATTGTCCCAGGGAGTAGCATCTTTCTTGGCCAACACCAGTTGGACGTCATCGGGAATCTGGTAATCTTGCCTAAATTCGGCCATGCCACCAGGGGTTTCGACTAAATATCTATACTTACCCATTTGTTGTATAATTTATGAATAAATTATTTCGGTACAAAAATTAGGCTCAGTAGCTCGGTTGAGCACACGCGGGAGTGCCTGGGCAACCTAAGTCTGCAAGGTAGAAAACAAAGGGGTTAAGCACAGATCGTTGGACCGCGCTACAAATTATAAGCAAGATATGCAAATCCTACTTCGGCTTAGTGGGCTGGTTCTACCTCGGTTTATCAAAAGGTTTGTTAGCTCGGTCTTGAGCAGATTAGACCGGTTTATCGTCTAGGGGCAGCTTTCTGAGTTCGGTCTAAAAAACTAAGAAAGCTGGTCTAGTCCCAAGGCCTAAATCAGTTGTGGAATGAATAAAGTTACTTCGGTTAAGCTTCTAGGGGCGGCTTTCTGAGTTCGGTTTAGGAACCAAGAAGACCGGCTTGGCCCCAAAAGCTTAGTTCGGTTGACAACCGAAGTTCCTAGTTTCCTATATTCAAAATGTGGTGGTCTTATTTCGGCTAAAGTGAGTCAGGCTCTGGTAACCCATTGAAGCATTTAAGTTCTAGTTCGGTTCTTGACTACAGAGATCTACCTGTGGGGGCAAACAGGATCCTAGTTCGGTTACTAAGTGATTTTGGATCTAGGGCTGGTTTTCTACATAATAGTTCATACATACATGGAGTTCTACTGGTTTCTTTGTAAAATTACAAAAGCAAAGCAGACAAATGGAGAAAAATGTTTGCAAAAAGCATACAAAACAAAAACAGATGAAAAAACAGGCAAAACAAAAAGGATAGGCGTGTTTACCCGAATAAGAAAGAAGCTAGAGATGGAGACAACAGCAGCAATGGAGACACGAGCACAGCAAGAACACAGAAAGGAAATGAAGAATGGAAGGTGAAGTGATTCAAGGAAAAGAGAGGTTGTTTTGTGAAAGAAGAGAGAGAAAAAGGCGGAAAGAAAAGGCGGGAACTGTTTCAAAATCATGAAACACGAAGACGGCGTGACAGCCATCCTTAACCAATCAAAACATGCCACGTGTCATAAGAATGGGAAGCGTTACAGACACTATGATTGAAGAGACGTTTTTGACCGGAAAAAATAGGGCCCGGAGTAAAATTAGCTCGGCTGAAAAATTCGAGGGTTTTTAGCTCGACTGGAATAGCTTAAAACAACGTCAGCTCGGCTGATGGACTGGTAATCCCAATCATGCTATGCAGATGGAATTAAGGGGCAATTGAGAGGGTAATTTTTGGGAAAAATTGGGCCGAGCTGCGAGTTGGGCATTGAGGCCCAAAACGCGAAGGACTAAGTAAGAAGGCCGCAATAGATACTCCGGCCCAGAAGGGCAAAGTTACTCCGGCCTTGGGAAGACAAAGTTACTTCGGCCCAAGGAGGTGAAATTACTTCGGCTCACGAAGGGTAGAGTTACTTCGGTTAGAAGATTGTAAATGAACTTCGGTCTGGGAGCAACTTGAAGTCATACCGGCCTTAGAGGCATACCGGTTTGAGAGTCATACCGGTCGAGTCGTTGGTTCGGTCCGAACACACCACGGTTCATGTATGAGAGAACCGAGATATGGTGTAGCATGAAGAAGAACCAAACAACTGTTAGTACGGCCTACTTTGTGGCTCGGCATAGCCATTTTTACTTCGGTCAAATGAAAGTTCGGCCATAAATTGAACCATCCCACTTGGTTTAAGCAGTGGGGGAGGGTGTGAAAGGATAAGCATTATCCTTGAGAGTATGAATCCTAGGAGGACTCTGCATGGAGAAATACAAGTCCTACTAGGATTGTGCCATATGAAACTTATAAAAGCTCACAAGCATCACCTTGGAGGAGGTAATTGAACACAATCTTTTTGAGAACTTAGAGCTTTGTCTATTTGTCAAGTTTTTCTGACTTAGGCATCGGAGAGGTTTCCGGCACACACCCGCCGGCTAGCTCACGTTTGTGTTTTCAGGTGACAAAGCGACGTCGTACGGAGGAGCGTGGACTTGGTCAACAGGATTATACGAGGAGAATTATTTCCTCCCCGTACACAAATAATATTTTTTCTTTTCTTTTTGTAAATAAAAACAAATTACAACCAAACGTAAATTTCTCATTTATATTTCCGACAACATAAGGTGTGGAGCTGTAAATAAATTGAACTGTTCACAAATAGACTCGGCTAAGCTCGTTTAGTAAATGAGTTGAACTCGAACTCGAATAAGCTCGATTCATCAAGTTTGGTTTATTTATTATTATTTAAATGATATAATAAATGCATTATTTATATATTAAGTAATATAAATAATATTTTTTATTTAAATAATATAAATAATATTAAAAAAAATCTTATCGAGCGGAACCCTCCATTCTAATTACTACTCGAGCCGAGCTCCAGTTCAGTAACAAACTCGATAAGCTCAAATTTTTTCCTGCCAAACACCCACAAATATCCCTAGAAACATGCATAACTTATTAGAGAGAGAGATGAGGAATGACCTTAACTCTTTCCATGTTGAAGGCCTGGCTTGTAATCCTCCTATGAACAGCCCAGGTGTCACCGGTCAAGCCAACAAGTCCTTGTCCAAAGAGCAGCTTGGACAAAGGGTTGAACTCAAGCCTCTCAAAGGACCCACTCTTATTCAGCAACACCTCCTTAATCATCTCGGGTTCGGCTATAGCCAACCGAGGCTTCGGTCCAAACCAGTACAGAAATGTCTTCCCATAAACCCTTGACCAGTTGTAGTAGTGCGGAATCGCCCTCTGAACGATGTCATGGTTGAAAGTTATCGGCCTCGATTCAGCTTCGGCAATCATACGCCGACCGATCTCGGCCGAGTTTCCGAAGATCGGACGGTAGCTAGGCCCCCCTATGCCTTGCCTCCTGAAGTGTCGTTGAAACTTCAATGGAACCCATATGATTGAGTGTATGAATTTTATTAAGAGGACTGAGATGAGGAGTAGCAAGATCGTCATCAGCAGTAGAATAGCCATACACTTGAAGCTCTGTGTGTGTGTGTGTGTGTGTGATAACCCGACCCTCTTATATGCTTTACATCTTTAATTATATGAGTAATTACATGCTTAATGTCAAATTCCATGTGAAATTGTTTTTAAATATGTGAATTATTTGATTTTGACATTATATTTGTCGGTTAGGATATAGTATAAATTTTTGTAAAAATCTGATTCGTAATGAATTAATTGATGTAATTTAGGCTCTATTAACTTAACTAGTGAGTCTTGATAGATATAAGGGTTATACATATGAACCTTAGATGACTTGGTCAAAATAACTCAAAAATATCTCCTGGTAAAGATTCTGAAGAAGGGAGAGAGAGAGAGAGAGAGAGAGAGAGAGAAGAAGAAGAAGAAGAAGAAGAAGAAGATCAATCAAGATTGGGAGAATGAAGAACTTGTTAAGGGGATTTGAAGAATACAACTTAAAGTGAGTGTAAATTACTAGTAAACTCTCAATCCTTCTTCAATTGTTTTGAATCAAGCTTGGAAATGAAATTTGTCATCCATGGAAGTTAGGGTTATGAGTTATAATTGAGAATGATCAAATCTCATAAATGATCATGTATCTCTAGGATGTGTGTAATGGAAAAGTTGATTCTTTTATGTTATGTTTAATTTGCATTGGCTTGGGAGAAATTGTGCATAATCTTACCCCTTTTGCATGCTTGAGCTCATGTAAATAAGGATATATATATATATATATATGATGATGATGATGATGAAAATCAAGGAATCATGGATTGGAGATGTAAAGGCCCAAATAAATCAAATCTTGATCTTAATGGATTGGAATTTCATGTTTATTGTGTGTTATATGCTTTGTTTTTGAGGTAAATTTAGTTGATTTTGACTGCACGACTATCTCTTGAAAGCTTAAAATTGTTGAAGTTTCAGATTAAATAGCAAAGCCCCGGGACCCATGGTCGCACGTGCGGAATGTACAGCCGCACGTGTGGGGCTCATAGTTGCACATGTGCAGTCTACATTGCTATCATTTTTTAGTTTCAATAATGCACGCCATTAATGAATGCCTCTTGCTTTATGTTTGCATTTGTTTGCTTTTGAAATGCTGTGAGATTGCAGAAATCTTTCTTGCTTTTTTTACTTGCAAGTTCCAACAAATCACCAAATTAGTTTATGGTATATTTTCTTGCAGTTTATATCTTACATAATAATCCCCTGAAACTTCATGCCTCTTCAATTTCTTTAGTTGTCACTTGATTTTGTAGCGTGTAAAAGGAAACAATGATCTTTGGACTTTGGAGATCATAAAAATTAGCTGGAAATTATCAATTTTTAAGAGTCTTCTCATTAGTTCAGTTATGATTTGTGAATGTGTTCCTCCTACTCTCACCCTCATTTGTGGGAATATTTGTATTAGGACAGGGCATAGCAGTACATCATTGCAGTGTATAAAAGTAAATAATATGATTGTTTCAGCTT